CAAGTCTGTCAACTATCTGCAAATCACTGTTGGCTGCTGGCATTAGCGTTTTGTAGGGGCAAGAAATAGCTGCAACAAACTTGCCTGTCTGACATGGCCCTAACTGCTAGATATACAGTACATGGACATTAAGAGAGTGCCTTTACACGGACAGTTATTTATTCCCTGAAGTTCCAGGACTTTGTAAGTTTTTATACAGTTTTGACCTGAGTATTTCATTAAAGTAGCCTGCAGGCTGTCACTGCTGACCTCCTTCTTGAAATGTTAGTTACCAGAACATCTGGCTTCAGCACTGTGAGGCACTGAGCTTCAGCAAGCATGCAGCAGGTGAAGTGAGAGCAAAGCCATAACTCCTGATTCGTATACTTGTTCCAGGTCAGTGATGCAAAACGTATACTGAAGCTACTGGATCAGCATGAAAGCCAAGAAACAAGCATTTTTAGAAAGAGGTCATTTCCAGCATAGACACCATCTGCACAGTTTTTATGTTACTTACTGTACATATAGTTACCTTGTTGGTAAGGCTGAATAAAGACACCAGTCCATCCTGTGTGGGGGTGTGTATGCATTTATGTCTCTACCATATCTCTGTATGTTGTGTTCACTAAGATGCCCATCTAAGTTTTATGAAATTATCAAACACTCCCTGCTGACACCACTGTTTGTGGAAGGGAGCTCCACACCCTCACCATTCTAACAGGAAAAAAAACCCCTATGCAGTTTTAGGTTGAACTGCTTTTTGTCCCAATTAACAGTGATCACATGCCCTGCGACTGAGCAGTTTATTCCCTATGCTAGAATCACCATTCAGATATTTGTATATTGCTATCATATCTCCTGTTAAGTGTCTCTTCTCCAGAGAAAATAAACTTAGTGTGTGTAACCTGTTCTCATAACTGAGGTCCTCCAGCCCCCCTATTAGTTTTGCTGCCATTCTCTGGACTCTCTCCAGTTCCAGTACATCCTTCCTGAAGACTGGTGACCAGAACTGGAAGCATACGCAAGATGCAGCCATACCAACGTGGAAGAATTATTGATTTACCTCTGGAGTAATTACCCTTTTTAATGCATGCTATTAGTCTGCCTTGTTTGCTGCAGCTTGACATTGCATGCTATTGCTGAGTGTGTCATCTTCTAGGACTCCCAGATCCTTTTTTCATCCTTGATTCCCCCGAGGTTCTCCCCCTAGCATGCAGCCATCATATTTTTATCTCTCAAGTGCATTACTTTACATTTTCCCATAATAAACCTCATTTGTTATCTGTTTACCCACTTCTCTATTTTATTGAGGTCTTCTTGTAATGTTCCAATATCCTGTTGTGGAGTTAGTGCCCTGCTTGGCTTAATATCATCAGGAAACACTGATACTGAGCTATTTATACCAACCTCTATATCGTTTATGAACAAGTTAAAAATAATTGGTCACTGGACATTCCTCACCAACCTTTGGATGTGCCCCTGCAACTAGTTCTCTATCCAGGTACATACTGTACACGATGATCAATGCAAACAGACCTTCATTTATAAATTAAGCATTTATGTGGTACGGTCACAAATACTTTGGCAAAATCTAGGTACACTACATCCACAGGCGTTCCTCTGTCTTGATTAAAGCTCACTTCTTTATAGAATGTTAATAGATTGGTCTGGAAAGAACGACTTTTCATAAATCCATGTTTGTTACTACTAATGATACTATTTTCATTGGCAAATTCTTGGATATGGTCCCTTTTCATCCCCTGCAGTAGTTTACAAACTACTGATGTTAGGCTGACTGGCCTGTAGTTGCCAGGTATGTATCTTGGCCCTTTTTTTAATATTGGTACGTTAGCTTTATGCCAATCAACTGGTACCATTCCAGTCAGTAAGCTGTCCCTAAAGATTAGGAATATCGTCCTAGCAATGACCTGTAAGTTCTTTGAAGACTCTCAGGTCTAAACCATCTAACCCTGGTGATCTGTGAAGGGTACCCTCCTTGCTGTGTTGCTAACACTACTGTCTTATCTATTATACCATTCTTTTTCCATTATAAAAGCTTAGAAAAAGATTGTATTTAATATAGCTGCCTTCTCCCTGTCATTTGTAACAAACTTCCCCCGAATATCCTTATGGTACCTACAGTTGTGACCAAAATTATTCAACCCCCACTGAAATTGAGTGTTTTGGCCAGTTTGACATTGCTTTTGATCATTCAGTCATCTTGCTTACATTTACATTAAAGAGGCACTTGTAGGTCAGACAAATATAACATAACAGTTATAATGAAATAACCACAAATGTCTTTTCTGTGCTCACAGCATTATCAGTTTTATTCAACCCCCAAGTGACATTCAATCTTAGTACTTAGTACAGCATCCTTTTACAGTTATAACAGCTTTTAAACGTGAAGCATAGCTTGACACAAGTGTCTTGCAGCGATCTACGGGTATCTTCGCCCATTCTTCATGGGCAAAGGCCTCCAGTTCAGTCACATTCTTAGGCTTGCGCACTGCAACTGCTTTCTTTAAGTCCCACCAGAGGTTCTCAATCGGATTTAAGTCTGGTGACTGCGATGGCCACTCCAAAATATTCCAGCCTTTCCTCTGCAACCATGCTCTAGTGGACTTGGAGGTATGCTTGGGATCATTGTCCTGTTGAAAGGTCCAACGTCTCCCAAGCCTCAGGTGTGTGACGGACTGCATCACGTTTCCATCCAATATCTCCTGGTACTGAAGAGAATTCATGGTACCTTGCACACGCTGAAGCTTCCCTGTACCTGCAGAAGCAAAACAGCCCCAAAGCATGATTGACCCTCCACCATGCTTCACAGTAGGCAAGGTGTTCTTTTCATCATAGGCCTTGTTCTTCCTCCTCCAAACATAGCGTTGATCCATGGGCCCAAACAGTTCTAATTTTGTTTCATCAGTCCACAGAACACTATCCCACAACTTTTGTGGTTTGTCCACATGGCTTTTGGCATACTGCAGTCGACTCTTCTTATTCTTTGGAGACAGCAAGGGGGTACGCCTGGGAGTTCTGGCACGGAGGCCTTCATTACGCAGTGTGCGTCTTATTGTCTGGGCTGAAACTTCTGTACCCACATCTGACAAATCTTTTCTCAGTTTCCTCAGCAGTCACACGGGGACTTCTCTCCACTCTACGCTTCAGGTAGCGCACAGCAGTCGAAGTCAGCATCTTCTTTCTGCCACGACCAGGTAGCGTTTCAACAGTGCCCTTTGCCTTGAATTTGCGAATGATGCTTCCTAAGGTGTCTCTTGGTATGTTTAACATCTTTGCAATCTTCTTATAGCCATTGCCCTTCCTGTGAAGAGAAATCACCTCTTCTCTTGTCTTCCTGGACCATTCTCTTGCCTTCACCATGTTTGTAACCACACCAGTAAATGTCTAGAAGGAGCTGAGTATCACAGTCATTTTAAAGCTGCCTAATTGGTGCTTATTATGCTTGATTGCTGCTCGGTGACATCCACAGGTGTTTTCAATACCTGATGGAAAGCACCTGTATGAACCTCTGTTCTTCAGAGTGGTAGTCTTTAAGGGGTTGAATAATTGTGGCAATGAAGAAACCACATAAGAACCATTTACTACTGTATTACATAAACAATTGATGTCATTTTAGTTGCATTTGGGTAGTTACAACGTCCTTGTAGGATTTGATTCTGAATACAATTCCAAATGTACACTATAGTCCCTAAACCCCTTTACAGCATTGGGGGTTGAATAATTTTGGTCACAACTGTATATGCTCGGATTTTGCCTTTTTACTATTTATATACTTAAAATACTTTTTGGGATTCTTTTTACTCTCTTCTACAGGAGTCTCGACCTATTTTTGTTGCCATTCAGATTCCTTACATTCCTTATTGCGATTTTTGTAGTGCTGGAATGCAGACGGTATCCCTCTGGCCTTATATTTTTTTAGCCTCCTCCAACAAACCCAAAACAAAACTCATATGCCTCCTTTTAAAATCTGGAAAAAAACATGGTGGGCAAACTCACAGTGAGCAATAAGATTCCTAGTTTAATTATCTGAGAGAATATTAGGTCCAACTTAATTAGCTGCTGTGGGAAAATAACTTCACACTGTTATACCTTTTTGCTGCAGTTTTTTATCAATAGTTTACATGTCTGTATAGAAAAAAAAAAATAGAAAGATTTACTGGACTCCTGTCCTCTGGCATACAGCCAAATGCCTAAGATTTATGCCACACCACATTTATTTAATCTCAAGATCCCTTGCAGAGAGCTCCTTTATCCTGTATCCCTGCCCCAGCTACAGTGGCAGTCAGCATATTACCTACTGATACAATGAGATGAAGCCCAACGCAGGCGGGCAGAGGCAGTGCTGCAAAGGGAGCCTATCAGTGAAGTAATACGATATGGACAGGTGTTTACAGTGGGACTTCATAGGTCTGTATTACCGCTCACACTGGAGATGATTATCTACTCGAATGCAAATTGATCATTTGAGAGAAGGTGAAAGTCTTATAAAATGGATGTCAGGGTCTTTAAAATAGGTTAACTGTGTTTTCACAATAGTCAAGATACTTTTTCATATGCAGGTTTTCCCCCTTTTAGTTTTACTCTATAAAAGCACATAAAGTAATTTAACTAAAGCTATTGGAAAAAAGAAACATACAACTCTGAAAAGTTATGGCAATGTTAGTTGCATAAAATGACAACTACATATGTTTATATTCATCTTGCAAGCTATTGTAGCACATGCTGCTATCCGATATATTATGTGGTGACAACAGTAAACAATTTTACAGAAATTGGTTTATTTTCCATCTCAGTGCAGACACAAACCTTAAAACATAACAGAGGCTGAATCCTCTACATAAAGTCAGAAAGCTTGTCAGACACCTCAGATATTGGAGGTACTAGACTGTACTGCTCCCAAATGAGTCCTGATTTCATTCTCAAATTGTGCTGACAATCCAGCAGATTCCTGTAGCAGAAAAAGGACTGTTGCAATCTCTGGGTTGTAAATTGGAAGGATTCTACGTCAAGATGTCATGTGCTTGATGTTCTACCAACATCTCCATGCTCTTCACATCTGTGCACCAAAACTCTAGACGGTCTTTCATACCCTTGATCTGGGAGACGAAAAAAAAAAAAAGGGGACACATCAGGAAAGAAGCTTATTAGGGAAACACAAGTCATTAGAACTGGGTAAGATTTAAAAGGATGAACGCACATCCCCCCAACAAACACACCAATCGGTGTACTGCTATCAAGCCAATTCCAATATAGCCATATTTATTAAGCTATTCCCCCCGTCACTGGTTTCAGGAACAGCTGGTTGTGCATGTCCTACCTCTCGGAGGATGCTGCTCAAAACGTGTGAGTCTTTCACCTGCATTATCAGAGCATCAAATTCATTAGGAAAATAGTGATGGTAAAGAGTAGTGAGTATGGCAGCCAGTGAAGAATACCAAGCAGTCAGGCTTTGTCCACTAATACAGACAAAATGTACTGTAAGTTTTTAATTTCACTGGAGTGAACCAGAAGTTCACATAATTAATGGTGAATGCAGAACACTGACAAACTGTGAAAGACAAACTATCACATTACCTGTTGGAGATCAAGAACCCGAGGCTGGACCCATGTGATGTGTACTCGCTTGTCTACTTCATCAATGCTGCCTCGCAGCAAACCAACAGACAGTGCTTTCATAACCAGCAGCTCCACCTTTAAGAAAAGGGAGACAAGATTGACTTCTACTATAAAAGGGAAAAGATCGCGTTCAGTTCAGTACTATTTGAACGGTCCAATTAAATATTTATTTTTAGAACATGATTCTCGTTTCTCTTCAAATGTTTTAATATGTATTCTGGTTCTGGATATATTAGTTTGTTTTCAAAAGGGTAGTAATATGGGAAAGGAATGAACCCCCACACAGAACTGCCTTGAGTGCGTAAAGACAATTTATATGCGATTCACTTGATTGCTGTTCTCCATTATAATAATGGTATTTCAGATATGAAAATACTCCCTCTAGTCACCATTTGTAGATCATCAGGTAATATGATGATCTTTTCCTGTTGATACAAGCTCCTTAAGGCCCATTCACACTTCCAATGGGGCCATTAGTGATTGGATGTGGGAGAACCAGCAGGGGTTCCCAGTGACTAGCTGTGGGCAGAAGCACCACTGAAAACAGCAGCGTGACATCACCCACAGCTATTAGTGGGCACTCACATGTAACTGCTCATTGAGCGATCACCTGCAAATGATCAGCCATAGATGCAGATGTTCTGTGTCCAGGGCTGATCATTTGCAGGTAAATTGACACTTGAACGGCTACATGCAGGCGACCACAAAAGCTTTGGGAGCAGCAGCCTCCTACTGCTTTCAAATGGGCCTTCAGCCAGCAGCTAAAACCAATTGAGTGTTTCCAGTCAGGTCTGATATAAACAATAGATTTTTACTGAGGGAGTAGCAGTGAAGCACAGTCACTATGCAGCACAACAAAGCAGGATGGTGGCTAAGTGTGTGAAAAGCAAATACCCATATAACCACCTTCATATACATACAGTGGGGTAAAAAAGTATTTAGTCAGCCACCAATTGTGCAAGTTCTCCCACTTAAAAAGATGAGAGAGGCCTGTAATTGGCATCATAGGTAGACCTCAACTATGAAAGACAAAATTATAAAAAAAATCCAGACAATCACATTGGCTGATTTGGAAAGAATTTATTTGCAAATTATGGTGAAAAATAAGTATTTGGTCAATATCAAAAGTTCATCTCAATACTTTGTTATATATCCTTTGTTGGCAATGACAGAGGTCAAACGTTTCCTGTAAGTCTTCACAAGGTTGGCACACACTGTTGCTGGTATGTTGGCCCATTCCTCCATGCAGATCTCCTCTAGAGCAGTGATGTTTTGGGGCTGTCGCTGGGCAACACGGACTTTCAACTCCCTCCAAAGGTTTTCTATGAGATCTGGAGACTGGCTAGGCCACTCCAGGACCTTGAAATTCTTCTTACAAAGCCACTCCTTCATTGCCCGGGCGGTATGTTTGGGATCATTGTCATGTTGGAAGACCCAGCCACGTTTTAACTTCAATGCCCTTGCTGATGGAAGGAGGTTTGCACTCAAAATCTCACGATACATGGCCCCATTCATTCTGTCCTGAACATGGATCAGTCGTCCTGGTCCCTTTGCGGAGAAACAGCCCCAAAGCATGATGTTGCCACCCCCATGCTTCACAGTAGGTATGGTGTTCTTTGGATGCAACTCAGTATTCTCTCTCCTCCAAACACGACGAGTTGTGTTTCTACCAAACAGTTCTATTTTGGTTTCATCTGACCATATGACATTCTCCCAATCCTCTTCTGGATCATCCAAATGCTCTCTAGCAAACTTCAGACGGGCCCGGACATGTACTGGCTTAAGCAGGAGTCCCTGGATCTGAGTCCCTGGCGGCGTAGTGTGTTACTGATGGTAGCCTTTGTTACGTTGGTCCCAGCTCTCTGCAGGTCATTCACTAGGTCCCCCGTGTGGTCCTGGGATTTTTGCTCACCGTTCTTGTGATCATTTTGACCCCACGGGGTGAGATCTTGCGTGGAGCCCCAGATCGAGGGAGATTACCAGTGGTCTTGTATGTCTTCCATTTTCTAATTATTGCTCCCACAGTTGATTTGTTCACACCAAGCTGCTTGCCTATTGCAGATTCAGTCTTTCCAGCCTGGTGCAGGTCTACAATTTTGTTTCTGGTGTACTTCGACAGCTCTTTGATCTTCACCATAGTGGAGTTTGGAGTGTGACTGTTTGAGGTTGTGGACAGTTGTCTTTTATACTGATAACAAGTTCAAACAGGTGCCATTGATACAGGTAATGAGTGCAGGACAGAGGAGCCTCTTAAAGAAGAAGGTACAGGTCTGTGAGAGCCAGAAATCTTGCTTGTTTGTAGGTGACCAAATACTTATTTTCCACCATAATTTGCAAATAAATTCTTTCCAAGTCAGCCAATGTGATTGTCTGGATTTTTTTTCTCATTTTGTCTCTCATAGTTGAGGTCTACCTATGATGCCAATTACAGGCCTCTCTCATCTTTTTAAGTGGAGAACTTGCACAATTGGTGGCTGACTAAATACTTTTTTGCCCCACTGTATATTCTGTTACAAAACTATACACAATGTAGTTTGAAGCCGATCACGTTTACAAGCGTAACTGCAAATCTTCTAAAAATGTTTAAATACATGTTCTTCAGCGTAAATCACTTCACCATAAAAGAAGCAAACAGACTATCGTATGTTAAAACAGCCTAAACTCACGTCATTAACATTGACTTGTGCACTCTTTGCTATCTCTTCAAAGGTTAGCTGGCGGTGATTCGCAGGCCGTGTAAACGTCATCTAGAGATGAAAGAACGGAGGTGTTGGAGAGTGCAACATCAACATAAACAACCAATACACAATGTTCCTTATGATACAACACACAGAGTCATCTTTAATAAATATCTCACCTCCATTAAACAGAGCAGCTGAATTTTCTTAAGCAAAAGTGTTTCATTTGCAGCAAGGTCAGGCTGACAGGAAAAAAAAAAAATATGGTAAGGTGTACATAGCGAAGCACAAATAAATGATGTTTTTCTACTAGAAATGTTAATCTTTACCTGCTGTCCCCATGCTGTTTTCAAGGCTCGGAATGTCTCCACGTTGCCACTGTTGAAGGCATAGAGGGTGTCTATCAGCCACTGCCGATCAGAATTACGGAGCGACTCCAATACTGGATGCATCAACTGCAGCAAGAGGTCAAAGTGTCTTAATATGTGGATGTATTGAAACATTTCATTAAAATCATCTGCCCTCCTAACAGTAAACAGTTTAGGAAGCACTACAAAGACATCAGTACATCAACATGAGCCTAAAAACATGCCAACAGAACATACTTACCAGTTCTCCAAAGTTATAGACCCCATCGCCAAGTAATCCAGCCAGACCAAGCGTAAAGGCTCTATCTTGCTGTTCTGGTACTAGAGCAAAAAACAAAATACAGAGACAAGTTACATCAGGCTCCTAATAAAGAAGTAGTAATTGTGTGATTCTGCTGCAACATCTTTTAATTAAAGCTGACCTCTAAGCAGAAAGACACAGTTTAAGCTCTGAATTCATTAATACATCATTAAATGTATTTTTAATGCAAGCTGTGTGTAAAAAAAGATGTTTGATCCTGTCATCTCTGATCATCTCCTTCTTCTACCATCCCCAATCCATCTGCTGATAGAATAGAGCATTGGTGGCAAGCTGCACATGCTCAGTTTGGTGTGTATTGCTAGAGAGGTTTTTATTTTTTCTTGGGAGAGTGCATGTGATCAGCACATCGCCAATCAGCGCTGTCCAGACAGAGGGTCAGGGGTATGCAGCCTCACAGGACAATCACAGGAGAATGGAAACTCCTCCTACAAGCTTTAACCAGTGCTCAGCCAGACACTAATAGAAGTCACAAGATTGCTATATACTGCTGCTGAAGGTACTTAGCAGTATATATTTATTAAAATAATTGCATTTCCATGTTCTGTGTACTGTGGGAGACCAGATATAGTGAATACAGGGTCCGGGTTTAGTAACACTTTAAAGCTGAGCTGCAAGCAAACTGCTAAACACACAGCTCAGCCCTCCCAGGTAGGACACCTTATGTTTTACAATGCAAAAATGGAAAAGATCTGGCTGATGCCACACCCTAAAGTGAGCAGTGACTATTTATTGGCTCTGCACATCATCATTCTCAAGATTTTGATATTGAATTTGTGAGGATAAACAGGAAGTCTTTTACACAACAAAATTCTCTCTTCTCAGACTGATGGCAACTTAATCCCTCCAAATAATGTCCAGTTAGCCAGCTTATTTTCACAAATTATTCATGTTGTGCTCATCTCAAAGCTAGACAGTAATTAGCTATTTCTTTATATCAATACAGAGTGCCCCAAAAAGCCAAGAGCAAGCAGGAAAAAATCCTGTTTTGTGCTTCTTCAGACCTTGGCATGCAGGTGTGTTGTGTAACGTGTTTTATTTTCATGCAAGTTGCATTAAGGCAGCCCATTCAAATGAATGGAGAGGCAATGCAACAAAATATCAGAAAAAAATAATTGATCTGTATCTCCTTTAGCAGTGCACCATAACATGCAGTGAAGTGTTACTGTGCATTGAAGTCCACTGCAATGTTTTTATGATGGAGCTGCATTGCCTTACTGCATTGGGGCGCCATTCAAAATAAATGCCACTGCTGCACACTAATACAATAAAGTGCATTGCATTGACATGTACATTACCATGAGACAACACACTGGAAAGGTGTGAATAGGCCCTTAGAGAAAATATATTTCCCCAGTTTTCCATGCACTATATTCTAGGTGGAAACCCCAGAGAAAAACAGAAGCACACAGGTACAATTATTTATTGTCAGGGTACATATTATACATAACAAAATATGGGCACGTACTTGGTAGGTCTTTGTGATCTGTGCAGCCTAGAAATCTCAGAGCATCTTTGTAATAGGAAGCATGATTTCCAATGGTCTGGTAATATTTGCTAGATAGGTCATAAAAGCGGCTGTGCACAGATGTCACACCAGCAAGTCCACCAAGCATCTCCTCTACACCTTCAATTGTTTCCTAAATACAAAAAAAGTATACTTATATCAAGACTTTACAGAATTTGGATCTTCAGGTAATGGTCAATCCCACATCTTCTAAGCATCACAAAGTCATTTCAAAGCAGGTCAGTGGTACTTCCTTTAAAGTGATTGTAAAGGCACAAGTTTTATTTTTTAAAAATAACAGAAATTTTAGACTTGCCTGCTCTGAGTAATGGTTTTGAAGAGAGCAGCCCCAATCCTACTCTTCTCAAGTCCCCTGTTCATGCTCCTTCCGCTTGCCGTGTGCCCCCATAGCAAGCCACTTGCCATGGAGCCACTCGTGTGTGTGCTTGCTCCTGACCAGGCTCTGGTGTCCGATTTGGCCCCACCCCCCTCACTCGCTGTGACTGACAGCAGCAGGAGTCAATGGCTCCTGCTGCTGCCTCTCTGTCCAATGAGAGAGGTAGCCCAGAGAGACAGGTCTCTCGTGCACATCACTGGATCGAGATTGAGATTGGGTTCAGGTAAGTATTTGTGGGGGGGTACTGCAAGCAGAATAGATTCTACCTTAATGCAGAGAATGCATTAAGGTTAAAAAAAAAAAAAATCTAAACATATGATCAACAGGCCTATGAGTGCCACATACATCTGAAACACTGAACAATGTTATGTTTTTAGAATGGATAGTTTTTTAGTATAGTTAGGTTTGTTCATAATGACATTAGGATGCATGAATTGAGCTTGCCCATAACCTCATTGAAAGATACTGGGACAATACAAGTCATACATAGATCAGCCATAACTTTATGACCACCTCACCTAATATTGTGCAAGTTCCCTTTGGCCACCAAAACAACCCCATTTACCACCAAAAGAGTCTTATCCTGCTGAGGCATGGACAGCACTCCATCTTTGAAGGTATGCGGTGGTATCTGGCACCAAAATTTCCATACCAGACCCTTTAAGCCCTGTAAGTTGTGAGGTGGGGCCTCCATGGAACAAACTTGTTTTTCCAGCATATCCCACAGTTGCTCAATTGGACTGAAATATGGATAATTTGGAGGCCAAGTCAAAACCTCAAACGTGTTCGATGTTGTGTTACTCAAACCATTCTTGAACCATTGTTTCAGTGTGGCAGGTCTCATTATCATACTGATAGAGGCTGCCACAATCAGGGAATACCAATTCCATGAACAGGTGTACGAAGCCACCAACAATGTTTAGGTAGGTGGTACTGGTCAAGTAAAATCCACATGAATGGCAGGACCCAAGATTTCCCAGCAGAACATTGCCCTAAGCAGAACACAAGCCTCCGTTGGCTTGTCTTCTTCCCATACTGCATCTTGTTGCCAACTCTTCCCTAGGTGACCGATGCACATTCCTTGGCCATCCACATGATGTACAAGAAAACAATTTATCAGACCAGGCCAGATTCTTACATTGTTCTGTGGTCCAGTTCTGATGCTCACATGCTCATTGTAGGCGCTTTTAGCTGTGGACACAAGTCAGCAGCTATGCAGCCCCATACACAACAAACTGCAATGCCCATTTTTTCTGCTTTCAACCCATGAACTTCAGGGTCAACATGTTTACTTGCTGCCCAATATATCCCAACAGTTTTCAGATGCCATTGTAACAAGATAATCAATGCTATTCCCTTAACCTGTCAGTGGAAAGTCAAAGTTATGTCTGATGGGTTTTTTTTTCTTCTTTATAACCACTTCATCTCCAGAAGGTTTACCCCCTTTTCAGAACCAGGCCATTTTTTTGCTATTTAGCACTGCACTAGTTTACCTGGTAATTGTGCAATCATGCCATGCTGTACACAAACAAAATTTATACAGCTTTTTCAAACAAATAGAGCTTTCTTTAGGTGGTATTCATTTTTTATTCATTATGTAAAATAAAAAAAGACCGAAAATTTTGAAAAAAAAAAAAAAAATGTATATATTTATATAATACTTTCTGCTATAGAATATATCCCATAAAAAATTTTTTTACATCTAATTTCTTCACAAATTTAGGCCAAAATGTATTCTGCTACATGTCTTTGGTGAAAAAACCCAATAAGTGTATGTTGATTAGTTTGCGCGAAAGTTATAGTGTCTACAAACTATGGCATATATACTGGAATTTTTATTTTTTTAATACTACTAATAGCGGTGATCAGCTACTTATAGTGGAACTGTGATAGTGCGGCGGGCAAATTGACAACCACTGACACGAAAACAGTGATCAGTGATAATACTTTACACTGTCACTGCACTGACACTGGCTGGGAAGGGTTAACATCTCAGGTTAATCAAGGGGTTCCTAACAAGTGTGATGTATGTATTATGTGCTGCTATTTACTAAAAATATTTGCTCCTTCTCCCTGCTTTGCAGGAAGGAGAAACAAAGGACCTTCTCACAAAATCCCACTGTATCAAATCACAGCGGGATTTGGCGGTTGGGGGCACACGTGTCCCTTCCCTGTACCCGGAAGAGGCCAGCAACATAGAGGTACGTCACTGTAACTGTACGGGCCACCCATCTGCAGTACATTGCGGGCAGTCCTTAAGTGGTAAAAGAACGTAAAGCGAACCTTCCGTTGTAGCCCCTCGCCATAAGAAATGCATCTGGCTTCTAGCGACTTCATTTAGGGAAGGGTGCCTACACTGACCCTTCTCTTGGAAAAGCAGATGAGACCAAATATCACAAGAAGTCACTCCTACACACTTCTGGAGTGATCCTTTTGAGAATTAAACTTCTTTGTGTTCCCAGGATTCTGAAAAAAGGCCCAATGATGTCACCCTTGCATTGAGGAAGTGGCCAGAAGCCAGAATGTAAACTGAGTAACTTTTAATATATACTTTAAAAATCCAGCAAAAGATATTTTTGGCTAGCAGCAACTTTCACATACCTTGGTGGCTTGCAAATCTCCAATGTTCAATTTCAGAGCTCCGATTGCGGTTCTACACAGTATCACTGCCTCATCACTACTTTTCACCTAAATGTAAGATGAGGGGATTAAAAAAAAATAAAAATATCAAAGACTTTAGTGTAATCTCACATCACTATAAATGTTCTTTGGTAGCTCAGACCTGAGCATTGTCACATGCTCCCCCATACCCAGAAGCCCTGCCCTATTACAGCAATGATGGCAGAACTCTAATAGTGTGGAGGAAGCATACCTTGGAGTGGTGAATGGGGTTACCAGAAGGCAGTCATTTTACCCTGGATGGGCATAAGTAACAATGTCTTTTTAAAGTGGCAGGCGCCCCTAATGGATTTGCAACAAGGCCACATCATACAGAATTACCACCCTGCATTTGAACTTATATTTAAAAAGCTTTGGTATTTGTTTTTTTATCCCCCTAAGCTCCAGAAATATTTGAAATTAATCTAAGAAGGCTTTAGCCACCAGCAGTGATCATTGCATTCTGATGGTTGGGAAACCTCTTGCTGTCAGAACACAAAAGCACAGCAGGAGGGATTGCCTTATCAACATTGACACTGTTGATGGGGAAATCTAGCACTTTTCTTTCCTTTAACCTGTGGTTTTCTTTCCTTCAACCGATGGTTGAAGGAAAGAAAATAGCATAATCTATGGGCAGCCTTTGGCTTTAATTTGTTAGTCTTTTTTTTTTAGTCCTAGTTCTCATCTTGGACTATAGAATAAATAGCCTTTAAGTGTTGATGATCTGAGAGTGGAATGGTTGGCAAAAGACATTGGGCAGGCCACTCTACAGCCTACAGTAATGTTGGGGGGGGAATTTACTAAAACTGGAACAAAGAATCCGGAGCAGCTGTGCATGGCAACCAATCTCTAACCTCAGCTTGTTCACTTAAGATTTGAATAGGAAAGCTATATACTAATTGGTTGGCACGCACTGCTTCTCCAGTCTTCGCAAATTCCCCTCTGTATGTTTTTCGCCTACAGCATGGCTTAGGAGCCCAGTGCATTTAGGGTATTTTCCTGTACTTGCGGGGTCTTTAAAGTGTTACTAAACCCACAACAGTAAAATCCTTCTGTAAAGGCAGTAAAGCATGCTTGTTATACTCACTGTGTAGCCTAAGGGGTTAATTCTTTGCATTGAGTAAAAACGCTGTTTGTTCCTGACTTCTCTGACTCTCCCCTTTTTCCAGTGTCCCTTCTTATCTCCTGATAAGACAGATCATGTGGAATCACTCTGCACATGCTCAGTTTGGTGTGTATTGCTAGAGTTTTTTTTTTTTTACTTGGGAGAACGCATGTGATCAGCACAGGGCCAATCAGCACTGCCCAGACAGAGCTCAGGGGTTCTGCATTCTCCTAGAGCAGAATGAAAAGTCCTCCTACAAGCTTTAACCAGTGCTCTGCTGGACACTGATAGAAGTCACAATACTGCTCTAACTGCTTGTGAGAAAAGGTATTTAGCAGTTTATATTAAAATAAAATATAACATATACTAAAATAACTGCATTTCCATGTTCTGTGTACTGTGGGAGACCTGATATAGTGAATGCAGGGTCCTGGGTTTAGTAACACGTTAATTCTTTTCCTGCCAGGGTAGTTTTTACAATTTTGAATACATGCTAACATGCATATTCTGGGCCTAAAAGGTTAAAAACTCAATATATACTTTCTGAAAGCAGAGGCCCTTGAGAATAATTTTTAACTTTTTTATGTCACAGATGTTAGCGCAGCAGTTTACCAAATGCAAATTTTCAGTACAAAATACACTAAAGTTATTTAATGCACACAAATACAATATATTAAGAAATTTTTTTTTTGGTTGACCATAAAGAGGCAAGGTTTCACCAAGTAAATCGACTAAACATGTGAAACCCTGCAACTGCGACAAACATTTGTAACCAATTTTATCCACAAATGATGCTCTTAAAGCCTTTACTGGTCATCAGTTTAATGTAGATTAATTGACTATGAATGCTGTTGGTTGTAGTAGTAACTTAGCAGCTTTACAAGTGTACATGCATGTAAGGTATGTATAAATACCTATGCTGTTGCAGGTGCAAGCCTTAGGTCGGTGGCAGCGAAAGGGTTCAAAACATGGAGAAACCTACGTATACTGCATATTGTGATATTTTTGCCTTGTCATACACTTTACCTTGAGAAGTAACAGCATTATCATTCAATTACAGGAATTTGAAAAATAATGGATCTACTGGCAGGATCAAAAAAGTAAAAAAAAAAAACCCCACTATGTACAGAGGGAACTCACTGCTTTGTTAATGCTACCTTCTTTCTTTATGGGGGCTTTCCCCTACAAATATATTTTAGTGACAGACTGTATCACGTCATTGTTTAATTTTCCCACGGTTACATTTTATCACAGACATGAAATACACATATGTAAACTGTTTTACTTGCTAAAGGATTACTACTCACACATATCTATGACACAATATCTAGTCGATCCTGAATACGGCTGCCAGACTCATTCACCTTTCCAACCGCTCCGTTTCCGCCACCCCCCTCTGCCAATCCCTCCACTGGCTTCCGATTGCGCAACGGATCAAATTTAAAATCCTAACACTGACGTACAAAGCTGTCCACCATACTGCCCCGAACTACATCACCGACCTAATATCCAAGTACCACCCAGCACGCACACTCCACTCCTCACAAGACCTCCTTCTCTCTAGTTCCCTGGTCTCCTCCTCCCATGCCCGCCTCCAGGACTCCTCCAGGGTGTCACCCATCCTCTGGAACTCCCTTCCCCAACCCCTCAGATTATCACCTACTATCCTCTCCTTTAGGCGCACCCTGAAACCCATCTCTTCAGGGAAGCCTACCCCACCCCCTGCTAACTTGACCGACCTCCTCCACTCTTCCTACCACTCCATCCCCCACAGCTATCTCCTCCTGTACCACTATCCCGTCCCTTCTAGATTGTAAGCTCGAAAGAGCAGGGCCCTCGATCCCCTCATGTTTTGCATTGTATTGGTATTGTTCTGTCACATGTTCTGTCCCCCTTTGTAATGTACAGCGCTGAGTGAACTATTGGCGCTTTATAAATACTGTATAATATAATAATAATAAATAAATATTTGCTGGTTCAGCTTTATAGCTTTCTTTGCTCTACTCATTGTGAAAGCAGTCATCATTGTGAGGACTCGGATTTATAGTCTACAGACCAGGCTAAAATCAAAGAGCTGTGATGGGAAACTGTAAAGCTAAACCAGTATGTGAGGTTGTCAGCTGCCTAGCTGTGCAGTGTGGCATAGTTGTGTTATTCACAAGACTGAACAAAATTACAGATTCTGTGACAAGCAAAACAGACCATATTCACTCGTTTCAACTATTTATCAGGCTACCTGAAGTATATATGTGTATAGCCCTATGGCTGCGTCCTCAGCTGGATCATGCAGAACAATACTGCATTATTACACATGATTTAGTAAATATAAACAAACTGTAGAAAGCTGCTCACCTTCTCCCGAGTCTTTTCTAGAAAATTAAGTGCTACTGTGGGCTCTATTAAAAAAAAAAAAAAGAACAAAACGGTTTATACTGAATCATTTTCTCTAAAAATGTCATACAGCAGAAAACTCCTTAATTTCTTGTACCAAAGCCATTTTTATTGTTTTTTGCATACGTAGTAAAATGCACATTATAAGCCTGAATATTACTTAACTACTACCCGCCCCCCCCCCCCCCCCCCCCATAAAAAAAACACATATTTTTTCGAAAAGTAAGACCTCGGAGGATAAAATGGTAGATCCAATTTTTTATGTCACATAATATTAGCGCACATACTTATCAAACACCAATTTTCAATAAAAAGGTTCATTTTAGTGAACAAAAACACAATATACTACCAGATTTGTTGTAAAATACAAAAAAGGGGTTGGAACAAGTAGATACCCAACATCAACATTTCACTGGCAAGCTGTGGAAGTGACTGGACAGCTGCTTTACAGCTATAGCAGTCAGGATTTTTTTTTTCCCTTTACAATTGCCCAACACAAACGTGCAGCAGCAAAAGGGTGACCTTTTAACGCCCATGTGCAACATAAATGCGTCGCTGGGCAGCCGATATTTTTGTCCTGAAAGCAAGCCCACTGCATCCTCCCAGCACAGAGACTGAGCTATGAAGATAGCTCTTGGTCCCTGCTTTTGATTAGTAGCCAGTGGGACCGGCTCCTGATCACATGACCACTGTGACAGCCGATCACAGTAGTCACATGATCAGCTGATCTTTCCCAACCCCCGACATTCAGAACTTTTCAAAAGGGACATGGGGGTGGGTGAGAAAGGGTTAAAATCCTGGTCTACATGCCAGTGGTTAAAGGAACTCTCCTAACCAGGTCATTTGCAATACTAGTTTAAAACTTTCCTCACCTGTCATTTGTCTCACTACATGAAGGATTATTTCAACAAGAGACAATGGGTTAATCCTGGAAAAAAAACAAAAAAACAAAATACACATGAGGGAGAAGGAAATATAATGGAAAAATCTGAAAAAGGTGGGTCCTGAAAGATATATAAGGACTAAGGGCTTAATGTGGATCATGTACAACGTTGCAAATTATACTTTTAAATACTACTTTTTAAATAAACATAACAGGTCAAATATTGTACTGTAAAGCATATTGATGTATAAATTGAAGTATACAATTTATCTTTAGACAATATCTTCCATTTTGCTTGAGGTGATTGTAGCCATATTAGTGCATTTGCGACAGAAACAATTGAGTACTGTCCGTGATACTTTTTTTACTAACTTATATTCATACTTATTTATACTTAATTGTATGTTAGTGCAAATAAAAAAAAGTATCACGGACAGTACTCAATTGTTTCTTTAGACAATGAAACACAAAAAACAATTAGATTCATTAAAAACATTTATAAACACCCCACTGAAGTGGACCCTGGCATGCATTTTAAAATGCACCAGGGCTAACACAGGACTGCCAAAACTAGATGGAATAAAGATTGAAAAATGTTGCCTGGTCATAAAAACCTGCTTCTAAAGCATTCTCTGCATTATAGTAAAATATGGTGCCCCATCCCTGAACACTAAACGGACTCCTCCACTGATTCAGCACTGGCCTGTCTACAGCAGTGCAGCTCTCTCTTCGTCATTTCGGAGAAGACTAAGAGTAGCAGGAGCCAAAGACTCTTGCTACTGTCATTTAAATCCTGTGGGGAGAGAGTGGGGTGTGACCGCGCCGAGTTGTGTATGTCTATAGAAGCACAGTGTCCAGCTCGGGAGCGCCACATATAGGAGGTGCCCCCTCAGCAGCCATCTTGCTGAGGGGACACGTACAGGAAAAGAGAAGCAGAGAGCGACAGCGGGGGGACTCCAAAAGAGGAGGTAAGAAAAAAAAAAAACATTTACAATCATTTTACAACAAAATTCCCACTAACACTAACTAGCCTTAAAAATGTCCCCTCCCTCCTTCTGCTATCAATGCTCACAAATATGTGTTAAAAAGAAGTGTATACTTACCTATTTTCAGCCCATACCTGTCTTGTGACCCAGCAATCCAGTGTCAGTCAGCGGCAGTTGCAGGAGAGAGAAGGGAGTGCTGACAACGGCTGGGGCATGGGAGCCTATGGGTGACATCACCACTCGTAGAATTCCCGGTCTTGTTGAGTGTTCTCTCCACACCCCTGCAGCCACCGCTGACTGATTCAGTGGATCCTGTGACTATACTGCAGTAGTCTGAAAATGGGCAACATTTGTTTTTTTTTTTTAAACACAGGTTAGTTAGCAAAGGTAGCAAGAGAGGGGAAGGGACAATTTAAGGTTAGTTAGAAATAGGCAGGAATTCTGCTTTAATTTCTATTGTAACATGCAGATGGAAATGTAAAAATCTGACTTACACAATATGAATCTGTGGCTCAAGATGAAACAGGAGATTTACTAACAAATCTGCCAGCACTGACTAAAATACTTAAGGATAATTTGTAGCACCTTCTTGAGTTTATGCTACAAAAATATGTAAGCTGTTCTGAAGGCAAAGGGAGACCAACATTATACTAGACAGGTGTACCTAATAAGATGGCCACTGAGAATATTTTCACAGGATACTCACATCTTTGGCTGTAAGTTGTGTACTTTATCCAATTTAATATCTCCTCTATTTTCCAAGTAGGTAGGTACATAATCAGTGCTTAAAACTGTTATAATGGTCAAGCCAGAACATGACTTTTTCACTTACTAGTACTGATATTTTATAGCAAATGAGGCATTCTCAGAAAGAATCGACAGTTCTGAAAAAAATTAAATTCTCCTATGTCACTTAGCTATTCCAGTAGATGCTTTACATCCTGCAGACCAAGGGTGACTGTGCAAGTGAGGTAAGCAGCAACAAAGCTGTAGGACATTGGCCAGGAAAATGCTGTGCTCTTACCTGTGCTCAAAATCACTGATGAAGTTTTCATAAATCTATGAAATAACAGAATTACATAAGCATATTGCAGCTGTTGTTTATAGTTACATAGTTAGTCTGGCTGAAAAAATAAAAAAGTCTATCCAGTTCAACAAAAAAAATAGAAAGTTATAATCCTATACCGGTAAAAGACACACAGTGAGCGCTCTCAAAGAAACATCAGCTGAACAACCAGGATAAACGCATATAAAAATCCTCAATAAAAAATATACATATAAAATGCAGCGCTGTAAAATGATCAAATCATGCAAATCAACACAATAATAGTCCTGAAAAGGTGCTCATTAATTCCCAGTGTCAATGGAGAGAATGCAAACTAACCAGAAGCGCATTTAAAGTACGCATGTGTGTAAGAAATCCTGGAGATTCCCCTCTCTCCCTCTGGTCAGGAAGCTCCCAGGATAGGATATTCCTCTTCAATGGAACCAGGGCTGGGATTGAAATCACTCTGTGGCTGTGAAATTGGGAGAGAGACCCCTCACAGAGGACACAGAGAGATACTCATAGTGTAGTATATAACTTCAATTTATTTCAAAAAACCAAGTAAAAAACATGTAATCAGGTGGCAAGTGAAAATGACCCACTGACCCTCTTAAAATTAAAGGTGGCCGCCGGGCCTCCACATGGCACCGGCGGCGTAGTGTCAACAGCGTCTACAGGCTCCTTCTGACGCGTTTCGTGCGCACGCACTTCTTCTGAGGTAGATCAAGGTCCTTGCTAGTCCTTGCGTAGTGTCAATGCCGTTGACACTACGCCGCCGGTGCCATGTGGAGGCCCGGCGACCACCTTTAATTTTAAGAGCGTCAGTGGGTCACTTTCACTTGCCACTTGATTACATGTTTTTTACTTGGTTTTTTGAAATAAATTGAAGTAATATAATACACTATGAGTATCTCTCTGTGTCCTCTGTGAGGGGTCTCTCTCCCAATTTCACAGCCACAGAGTGATTTCAATCCCAGCCCTGGTTCCATTGAATAGGAATATCCTATCCTGGGAGCTTCCTGACCAGGAGGGAGAGAGGGGAATCTCCAGGATTTCTTACACACATGCGTACTTTAAATGCGCTTCTGGTTAGTTTGCATTCTTTCCATTGACACTGGGCATTAATGAGCACCTTTTCAGGACTATTATTGTGTTGACTTGCATGATTTGATCATTTTACAGCACTGAATTTTACATGTATATATATATAATCATATACCCACAGTTGGTCCAGAGGAAAGCAAAAAAAAAAAAAAAATAAAACCCTAGCACAGCATGATCCAATTTGCTCCTGAAGGGGAAATAATTTCTTCCTGATTCCCGAGAGGCAATTCGGATATTCCCTGGATCAACTTACCTATAAATGTTAGTATCCAGTTATATTCTGTGTATCTAGGAAAGAATCCAGGCATTTTTAAAAGCAATCTACTGAGCAGGCCAGAACCAACTCTTGAGGGAGTCTATTCCACATTTTCACAGCTCTTACTATGAAGAAACCTTTCCGTGTTTGGAGATTAAATCTCTTTTCCTCCAGACGTAAAGAGTGCCCCTTTGTCCTTTGTGATGACCTCAGGGGTGCATGTATTTATACATGTTGATCATATCCCCCCTTAATCTCCTCTTCTCAAGAGAGAATAAATTCAGTTCCTCTAATCTTTCCTCACAACTGATCTCCTCCATGCCCCTTATCAGTTTGGTTGTCCTCTGTACTTTCTCCAGTTCCCCAATGTTCTTTTTGTGAATTGGTGCCCAAAACTGAACTGCATATTCCAGATGAGGTCTTACTAATGATTTGTAACGGGGTAATATGATATCTCTCTCTGGAGTCTATACCTCTTTTAATACAAGAGAGGATTTTTTCTCGCTTTAGAAACCTCAGCTTGGCATTGCATGCCATTATTAAGCTTGTGATCTACCAGAACTCCCAGATCCTTCTCCATCATTGATTCCCCCAGTTGTACCCCCCCTAGTATGTATGATGCATGCATATTCTTAGCCCCCAAGTGCATAACATTACATTTATCAACATTAAACCTCATTTGGCACATAGTTGCCTAATTAAACAGTGCATTAAGGTCAGCTGATAAGTTGGAGACATCCTGTAAGGACGTTATTCTACTGCACAGCTTGGTGTCATCTGCAATGACTGAAATTGTATTTTTAATTCCAGACCCTATATTGTTTATAAATATATTAAAAAGTAAGGGTCCCAACAGTGAACCTATTTATTCTGTCTAAATATTTCTGGATCATATCAGTTGTGAGCCAATGTGGATCATCTGGGGCTGTCAATACCATGCCCATTGTGGACAAGAGCTCCCCCATGCTCCTTTGTATACATAGAGCTGAAGAAGGTATTTGATAAATTTGTCACCAATCACCCACTCTAGAATATAAAATAGTGTTAGATTTCAACAACCATTACAAGGATGTAACCTGCAGAATACCGATGTTAAGGGTAAGCATACACAGCACAAATTTCAGCCTATACAGGGTGCTGTGGCTGCTTGAATAGCCAATAGTGGAAATTCCTCCATCCATGCTGTTTAGCGTGAAAGGGGAACTCAAGTGATTTTTTTTTCCTTGATAAAACGGCAATCTCACAAAAGAAAATCTTCATGTGTATGACTAGCTTTACTCGATTAGCTGGTCTTGTATAAGATACCATCATTACCTTGATAAGTCCATCTCCTTTAATGCACTCAGGATCTTCCACAAAGTCCAGCAGTTGCAAAGTCAGCTGATGCCATAACCTGAAAATAAAATGTGTTAGCTGTGGTCACAAATCAGATAGCTGGAACTACATGCAATATTCTGTCAATTTATTTCCAACTGCACATTTCAAAGGACATGGAAAAAATATTAAAACAGTCTTCTGGCAGCACCAGCAGTGGGAAAGTTACGTTCAAGCTCTTCTTTTGCAGGTATAATTGGGAAGCCTGCGACTAGTGCAGGGAAGCTACTACCGGGGACTGGAATGTAGTACTACTGCTCACACCTCTATCCCTCAAACCCTTGCAGTGCCAGGGATGGAGGGGTGGGAGGGCTGCAAGGGTAATTTGTACTGCTGCCCAAATGGGATTTTAAAGTGAACATAAACACAAAAACACCAAAAACAAAAATATAATAGACCCTAAATATGCTGCTTTAGTTTCCTTTTTTTCAGGTTAAGAACAATGGTATCAAGTACAGACAATCCTTGTTCATCCTGCCAAAAATGCAAGGTCCTTGATACTTTACTTCATGCCCACCATTAGAAGTGGATGGAAGCAGGGTGGTATATTCTAATGGTGGGCATACCACACACTTTTTCTGGCAGAAATGTATTCTCTGAATGAAAACTTCAGCAACCCACAGACTGGCTTTATGTAAAAGCAAACCTAGTGGCTAAAGGATTGCTTTTACAAGCAGCGAGAGGAGATGCCCCTCATGCGCAACCCCCCCCCTGTTGCCTTCTACGGCTTTCTCAGGCAGTCCCGTGTCTATAGGCTAAGAAAGCAGAAGCTACGAGCATTTCATCACTTTAGTTTCGCCGGATATAAACAGCGCCATTTGTAAATTGGGACAGCAGCTGATCACACCGATCTTGGTGAGATTAGATAATGTAAGGGCAGAGGAGATATCCAGAGTCTGATAGACCCCAGATTTCTCAGAAAAAAAAAAAACCTGTCAGTGCCTGTTGCTGTCACAGGGGATATTTACATTCCCTGTGATAGCAATAAAAGTGATCAAAAATAAAATGAAATGGGACAGTGTAAAAATAATATAAAAAATAAATAAATAAAAATAAAAGCACCCTCACCCCTGCGTCTGTATGTAAACAGCAGTTGCACCATGCATGTGAGGTACTGCCATGAACGTCAGATCGAGGGCAGTAATTCTAGCACTAGACCTCCTGTGTAAATCTAAAATGTTAACCTCTAGAGGTTTTTAAAGCATTGCCTATGGATATTAAAAATGTATGCAGTTTGAGCCGTTGCACGGGGCATGCACAGTTATAAAGCATGTCATGTTTGGTATCTATTTACTTGACATACCATTATCTTTTTTATCATACCAAACAATTAACCAATATATTGTGTTTTCGTGCATTAAAAGTAAAACAAAAAGTGTATTTTTTTCCAAAAAATTTGCTTTTGAGCAATCGCTTCGCAAGTACTATGTGACAAAATTGCAACACCCACAATTTTATTCACATGGGTATCTGCTTTAAAAAGGGGGTTGAAAGTAATTTCCTAGCAAAAAATACTGATCTCTTCATGTGAACAAAAAGTGTCAGAAAAGGCTTGGTCTTCAGTGGTTAGAAGAGTGAGTGATGTGTGACATAAGCTTCTAATGCCGAGCATAAAATGCCCCCCTCCACCCACCTCAAAATGACCCCTTTTTGTAAAGTAGGCACCCCAAACTACTTGGTGAGAGACATGCTGAGTCAATAGAAGAATTTTTGTTTTTATCACAAGTTTTTGGAAAATGACAAAAATATATATATATATATATATATATATATATATATATATATATATAAATTCTTATATTTTTATTTTTTTTTTTTCACAGAATTGTCACTTAAATGATTTATTGCTTTTCGTAGTGTATCCGCGTACAGGTCCCCAAAATCCAATAAGCACCTCCAGGCCTTTAACCACAAGCCTACAGGGCACTTATACCCCCTTCCTGCCCAGGCCAATTTCCAGCTTTCAGCGCTGTCACACTTTAAATGACAATTGCGCAGTCATGCAACACTTTACCCATATGAAATTTTTATCATTTTTTTTGTGACAGATAGAGCTTTATTTTGGTGGTATTTAATCACCTCTGGGATTTTTTATTTTTTCCTAAACAAACCAAAAACCAGTGAAAATTTTGAAAAAAAAAAAGTTTTTTCTTAGTTTTTGTTATAAAATTTTGTAAATAAGTGATTTTTCTCCTTCACTGATGTGCGCTAATGAGGCTGCAGTGATGGGCACTGATGGACACTGATAGGTGGCACTAATGGGCACTGATGAGGAGGCACTGGTAAGTGGCACTGATGGCATTGGCATTGAAAGGCAGCACTGATACATGGCACTGATAGGCGGCACTGATTGGCACTGATGCTCACTGATAGGCGCACTGACTGGCACTGAGGTGGCACTGATTGGCAGCACTAATAGATGGCACTGACTGGCATTGATAGGTGGCACTGACTGGCACTGATGGGTGACACTGAAAGGCAGCTCAGATGGGCACTGATATGTGGCATTGATGTGGCACTGATAGGGCACTGGCACGTGGCACTGATGGACACTGACAGGTGGCACTGCTGGGGCTACACTGATCATCAGGGCACACTGATCATCAGTACCCTGATACTCAGTATACATGTCCCCTCCGCGGAAAGCCGATTACCAGCTCTCCTCTCCTCTCGAGCTGTCAGTGTGACAGCTTGGAAGGAGAGAAATGCCGATAGCCAGTATTTCCGTTTACATGTGATCAGCTGTGATTGGACACAGCTGATCACATGACCAAGCCGACATCTTCGGCTCTTTCCATGATCGGTGATCCGCTGTGTCCGAGGGACACAGCGCACCACCGATCGCTGCGCTGTGCGCTCTCTCAGCCACGCATGCGTGGTGAGAATGGGAGGACGTCATATGACGTCCTCCCAGAACGAGAGAACCATCTTGCGCCCGTCATTGGACTATATGGTGGGCGGGAGGTGGTTAAAGGTCTTTATTTTCTCATTACACTTTCTGACTACCCATTACAGTTTCAAAGGCCCTGAAATGCCAGAATAGTACATACCCCCCCCCCCCCCAAATGACCCCTTTTTGGAAAGTAGACACCTCAAGGAATTCGAAAAGAAGCATGGTGGGTATTTTGTAGACCTCGTTTGTTGCTACAAGTTTTTTGAAAATGAAGAAAGAAGACTAAAACATATTTTTTTTTATTTTCTTTTTTTATTATTTTTGAAAACCTTGTGAGAAAAAATGAGATCTGCAAAATACTCACCATACCTCTTATTAAAAGGAGAGGGGGGTGCTATTCTGGCATTTCAGGGCCTCCGAAACTGTGATAGGTAGTGAGGAAGTGAAATGAGTAAGTTATGCACCTTCAGGCGTTACATAGTTAGTCTGGCTGAAAAAAGACAAAAGTTCATCAGTTCAACCATTAAAAAAAAAAAAAAAAAAAAATTATAATCCTATACCCACAGTTGATCCAGAGAAAGGCAAAAAAAATCAGCAAAGCATGATCCAATTTGCTCCTGCAGGGGAAACAATTTCCTTCCTGATCCGCTGAGAGGCAATCGAATATTCCCTGGATCAACTTTACCTATAAATGTTAGTATCCAGTTATATTCTGTGTATCTAGGAAAGAATCCAGACCTTTTTTAAAGCAATCCAATGAGCTGGTCAGAACCAACTCTTGAGGGAGTCTATTCGACATTTTCAAAGCCCTCACTGTGAAGAAACCTTTCCATGTTTGGAGATTACATTTCTGTTCCCCCAGACGTAAAGAGTGCCCCCTTGTCCTCTGTGATGACCTCAGGGTGAATAGCTCTACACCGAGTTCACTATATGAACCACTGATGTATTTATACATGTTGATCATATCCCCCCTTAATTTCCTCTTCTCAAGAGAGAATACATTCAGTTCCTCTAATCTTTCCTCACAACTGATCTCCTCCATGCCCCTTATCAGTTTGGTTGTCCTTCTCTGTACTTTCTCCAGTTCCCCAATGTTCTTTTAGTGAATTGGTGCCCAAAACTGAACTGCATATTCCAGATGAGGTGTTACTAATGATTTGTACCGGGGTAATATGATATCTCTCTCTCTGGAGTCTATACCTCTTTTAATACAAGAGAGGATTTTTCTCGCTTTAGAAACCGCAGCTTGGCATTGCATGCCATTATTAAGCTTGTGATCTACCAGAACTCCCAGATCCTTCTCCACCATTGATTCCCCCAGTTGTACCCCCCCTAGTATGTATGATGCATGCATATTCTTAGCCCCCAAGTGCATAACATTACATTTATCAACATTAAACCTCATTTGGCACATAGTTGCCCAATTAAACAGTGCATTAAGGTCAGCTGATAAGTTGAAGACATCCTGTAAGGACGTTATTCCACTGCACAGCTCGGTGTCATCTGCAAAGACTGAAATGGGATTTGTAATTCCAGACCCTATATTGTTTATAAATATATTAAAAAGTAATGATGCCAACACTGAACCTTGGGGTACACCACTGACAACCCTAGACCATTCAGAGTATGTATCATTAACCACTACTCTCTGAATACCATGTTTTAGCCAGTTTTCTATCCATTTACATACAGATTTTTCCAAGCCTGTAGACTTTACCTCACACATTAGCCATGTAAGGGGGAACTGTGTCAAACGCTTTTGCAAAATCCAAGTATACCACGTCCACCGCCACCCTCTGTCCAAGTATACCATGTCCACCGCCACCCCTCTGTCCAGGTATACCATGTCCACCGCCACCCCTCTGTCCAGGTATACCACGTCCACCGCCACCCCTCTGTCCAAGGTTTTGCTCACCTCCACATAAAAAGAAATCAGATTTATTTGACAACTTCTGTCTTTCATGAATCCATGCTGTCTGTTGCTTTTTTTTTTTTTTTTTTTTTTTTTTTCTATGTGGTCTTTTATTAAACTCTCCAGTATCTTCCCAACTATAGAAGTTAAACTAACAGGTCTATAATTACTTGGTAAAGATTTTGACCCATTTTTAAATATTGGCACCACATTG